CCCCTACTCTTTTCCGAAGAGTGTACTGCATTCTTTAACATGCAAATGGACCATAATGCACACGGGACCAATGGCTTAGACGTCTCATCCAAAAGACCGTGTACTATCCTAACTTGCATTGAGCCCTATACTGAAATACACAGACAGCAATGATTAGAATGGAACCAGGGGCCAAGAGATCTCTATGGTTCAGCGCACACATTGGCTACCACCAATATTGCAGACTTTTAACCAATTTTTTTCATGCATCTACTGTGCAATAATCTCCATTTAGTTTATGGAATATGACTATACTAATTGTTTTTTATGAAAGATGAACATGAACTCAAAAGAACTGTTACAGATTCTAATTCATACCAAGAACAATATGAGACTGGAATCGAATCCTTTAAGAACATGCAACAATATATGATGAAGACAAGTTCAAGATGGCTATAACTGATCACCTGAAGAATCTATAGTCCAGAAGCTACCTGTGCCACCACCCCTCCTCACTTTGCTCCTTTTAGAGGCGGAAGTAATGATCCACATCCATTGAGGACAGGTTTAACAATAAAATGAACATGTTCTTCACATTCATTCACCCCCTCATCCTCTACATCAACTATCCACATCCATGGTCTACACCTACAAAATCATAAGATAATAGTGTCTTTACACAAAATCCTGCTGCCTCTCTTTGGAAAAGCACAGGCTAAGTTGCTATTAGCAACACATAAAAAGTGTATTATTTGGTATTTGGTATGTACATTTTTGCTCTTCCTGTCATGCAACCTGGAGCTCAAGGAAAAAACATAATTGCACTGCATGTGGGCTATGCGATATTGGCCGGCCTTAATGTAACTGTGACGAACCATTGTTTTGATTTAGATCTCCATTTTGATTGCTCTACCAATTAAGCTACTAAATGAGGCGAAGTCATTATATTTCCTTTAGATCGTCATTTTTTATTGCTCTACCAACTACTGTGCAGAGAATATGCTACAGCTACTCTCAACTCAATCACCGATCGTTCATTGCTCTACCGAAGCCATCTACAAGGCCAAGTAACAGATAAAGCGTATCTGTGTACTTCATCACAATTACACGATTAGGTCAGTGTAGACTATATGGCCACCCGTGGTGCAACTATCTTTTAGTGGAAGCCAGATTGCAAGAATAAAAATGAACTGTTTGCCAAATAATATAGTTGAATTCATTTCAAGCCAATCTTAAACATCATTTCCCCAGAAATTTATCATAAGCAAGGACCCATAAATAGGTCCAGAATGACTTTTCCATCAATATCTTTGGTTACATTCTTCCAAAAAAGTCACTTGTCGGATTACTGATAAATTATTATGAAAACTAGGAAAAATTGGCCCAAAAATCTTCATCCTGTTCCATCTGTCTGAAATTCCACATCGAATTACAGACAATCAACCATAAAGACGATCGGGCCCATTTTCAGGATGGTCAGACCCAATTTTAAAGTGGGCCTGATCGTCCTGGAAAGTGACCCATAAATCTTCATCCTATTTGTTTGAAATTCCACAGATGTATCTGCACTTTTGAGCAACTTATACTTATTATATCTTGCACTCAAGGCAAATTATTAGGTGCTACGGAAATTTTTCGTTTACTACGGAAATCTGAAGACACAGACTACGGAA